GATACTCAAGTACAGTAACTAATTACATTTACTCCAATACTTTACACCTCTGATGGCAACAAACTCCGAAATCTGTGTTCGGTCCTTTCGTTCTACTCGGAGAGACACGGTGTCCCTGTGGCCCCGTGTCTTAGTATTTGTACAGCTGGATAAACAAATTACTCCAAGCCAATTAGCACAAGCTGTTAACACTAGTGTTTCAAGGTCCTTTCATATTAAGTGTATCGCACTTCAAACTTATTTTAATAAATGCTAAAAATGCAACATCAGCCGCTGATTTTTTTCTTTTTCTTTTTTACAGACAAAAAAAAAACTGTCAGTGCATAATGATTATTTATTTGGGAAAAGGCTGGGTGGGGTGCAGGAACCTGAACAACTCTCCCTAGGGGCTGTAAGCATAAATGCAGATGGTCTGTCATTTAAAAATGATACTCTTGTGGTATTTGGTGCAAAGACATAATTACTACTAAGGGTGTAGACATGATTATGAACTGGTCGAGGGAATATGTCCCCTCATATATGTTTGTCCATATGAGTTTTACCTTAGTCAGAATAGTGCCATATTTAATTTATGACAGTAATGAAATTGAGGCTTTGAGGGATAGAAGTACAGTGCGTTCAATGGATTGTACTGTCGCTTAACAGCATGCCGAATATTCAGCTGACCAGAGACTTTCAGTAGACAAAAAAAGTTTTGAAAGTTGTGAATTCAAAAAATTACGTGATCTAGGACCTTTATACAGTGTGTTCCAGTGTAAAGACTGTAAATCTACCCACTCACAGCCTAATTTTCATCTGTTAACTTTAATACAGCGTCTAACCTTTAAAGGAATAAATCACCCAAAAAAATAAATAAATCTGAATCAGATATTAACTTGTTCATGCTGCTCTTTGCCATTAAATACATTTATATATTTATCATTTACTTAAACAAACCTCACATATTATTTAGCAGCCATTACTCTAGTCTTCATTGTCACATTTAATATACTGATTTGCTGCTCGAAAAACATTTCTTATTATTATCAATGTTTAAAACTTGCTGTTTAATATTTTTGTGGAAACTGTGATAGAATTGTCAGGATTCTTTGCTCAATATAAAGTTAAAAAGTACAGCATTTATTTGAAGTAGAAATATTTTGTAGTATTACAGATGTTTTACTGTCACATCTTTCTTATATACTCATATACTTATGCTCAGCAAGGATGCATTAAAATGATCAAAAGTGACAGTAAATCAATATACTATTATATATAAATTATATACGCCTTTTTTGACATCTCTGATGCTGATGTTAAACTTGTAGTTAACACCAAGCTATTATTTGACTTCAGAAAAGCTTGAATATAATGATTATATAAAATTGGCTACTTCTATAGTGCTTTTGTCATTATTTGATCCACAGTTTACAAATATTTGGGGGGGAAATCCATTTGTGTCCAACGCCAAACTGAAAATGACAAGTAAATGAAAATGTAATGAGTACATGACGACAGACTTTTCACTGGAATGTTTTAAATTACATTTTTTTTAGCTAATGCAGTACAAATGTAATACTGCAGTGACATTTAAAACACATAACAAGACTGGAATGACGTTGCTATAGACCTTAATCGGGTTAGACACCATATTGAATTTAACAAGGATGAAAATGAGGCTGTGAGGATGGACTGTACCGTCTTTTCAATGTCACGCACCGTATAAAGATCCTAGATCGTGCTCACAACTTTCAAAACTGTTTTAAGGAGTTTTTGTCCACTTTCAGAAAGACCATTGGTCAGCTGAACATTCGGCATGTTGTTAAACGACAGTACAATCCAATGAACGCACTGTACTTCTGTCCCTCACAGCCTCAATTTCATTCCAATCAAACATTATATGGAGCTACCCTGACTTAAGTGAGTAATATTATTTCCTTAAGAGGTTAAGCATATTCGAACTTGTGCCTTTGTGATTGAGTACAAGACACAAAAGAACAAATGACATAGCCTACTGTAAATAGCATCAGTGATGCCAATCAAAACATTCAATCTCACACATATTATATTCATCTTCACAGTTGCAATGAGCTACAGTTTATTAGACAATGCCAAATTAACAGCAGTTAGTAAAGAGAGACAGCTCTGAACAGCACGAAGCTGCGAGAATACATTACCAGGGAAGCATTTTGTGGTAAACAGCCTCTGTTAAACTTCAGAGCATATTTCTTTTTGTAAGTCTCAAATCGGCTTTTGAAAATGAAGACATTACGTTCATACTCACAACTTTACCTGTTCCTGTCTCCAGTGAAACAGAAGAGTGAACACTGCAGTCTACCCCTTCTTTCTTGCTCTTTCTGAGCTGCATACTTTTTATGTAGTGTGTTTGGTTGAGTGAGATAAGGCACAAAACACATTAACACCTGCATTCAAGACACACACACACACACACACACACACACACACACACACACACACGGAGATGGATGATGGGGGAGATTGAATTTCTGGGCCAGTGAGCAGGAAGCAGAATGCAAAAGTGTGACTGCAGTTCTGTCACAGCAGGTCATTTGGGTACTAATGACTGTGTGTGAGCGAGTGAGTGTGTGTGCCTTGCATAAACCCTATAGGTGTGATTTGAGACACACGGCTGCAAATTCAATTTGAAACCCCCCATTTTTATTTAAAGGAGTGAAGAGGCGGTGATAGAGGAAGTGGCAGAGAGAAATGGAGAGACTTTGTTTAGTGCTGTTGAACCAAGGCTCTCACCTGATAACACGGGTTTCTTGTCTTGTCGTCTGCTGCGCGCTTAAATAAGATGTCATCAGTGCGGTATGGTAACGGATGTCAACGGAACCAATGATGTGCTCAGAGTGAGACCCGAGTCAGATACCGGCCAGCAGCTCGTCTCCGCTCGTTCAGGTGTTTCTTCGTGCCTTTAAGACAACCGGTTTCTGTATTCACGTTGTCTAAGTGTGTGACAGAAACTGTGACGGCGCGTGGTACACACTAAACAGCCGAACAGAGAAAGAATGTACTGTGGCGCGGCAGAAAGTACAACAGCGCACCCATGTGGCGAGATCTGCGGTACTACATCCAGTGTCACCTCGCACCTTTATATATATATATATATATATATATATAATA